CTCTTTCTTGTAATATCTGAACTATTTTTAACTCGTTTGTAGTTAACTACTGCGTTTCATCGTTTTATTTATATTTTTATATAAATAATACTTGTTCCACTTTTGTATGTACTATGTGGGTATTTTATATACGTACTAGCTGTTCCTCGCGACTTCGTCCGTGTATAATAATGACTTAAATTGCACTCAAATAGGTTCAGTGGTTTAAGCAATAGAGAATCCTGGAATTTTACCGCATATTTCCTGTCCCGTGAGATTTCCTTTCCAGTGTCTCAAACTCTCATTGAACCGAATTTTAATCAAATAGGTTCAATGGCTAAGAAAATTAGTATTCAGTCTCTTTGCATGCTATAATGTTGTATCATGATAATAAAAAAAAACATTGTTAATAATCCATTGGAGTAAAATGAAACTCACTTGTCAAAAATATGTCAGATAGCATAGAAAGGTATACTTAATATTATTAATTTGTTTACGTCTGTTTGTTTTGTTAGAAATTGACGTGATTTTTTACTGAATGCAGATAGTAGAAAGGATTGAAAGTAGCATATTAGGCGACATTTTGTTTTTATCTAACCCACCACTTCCCTAATACAGGGGCTGGATGTTTGTATGAAGCATTTCGTAATTTTTAAGAAACCTAAAATTAGTATCATATTTGTGATTAGAAAAACGTCAGGTACCAATTCTTTATTATTGTAAACCTGCCCTCAATACTTTAAAAGAGCGCGAGCGAAACCGTGGGAAAGCTAGTCCAAAAATAAAACGTAATAGTATTCAGTTAATGGAATCCGTATTTATTCTTTAAAATCTCTGATTCTGATGCAGCTAAATACGATTATTAGTCCTTGAAAACAGTTTTCTATGGGCAGTCAAAGGCTTAGCAATATAAGGAGATTTTTGGTTGTATTTTTACACATCGGGTTACATTATGGAAATTTACACGCGGTTCTCTTTTTTCTGTTTTATTAAATATAGCCTATGTTCAGCATCGATAATGTAGGATTCCAACGGTAAATGAATTTTTCAAATCAGCCCGGTAGTTTCGGAGGAGATGCCATTCAAACAAACAAACAAAAAATCAAATCTTTCCTCTTTATACTATTAGTGTAGATGTAGATGTAGATTTGTACCTAAGTGTACCAAATAATTTAATTGTGAATTATTGAGATACATGTCGCTTTCATCAATTAAACTACGAAGGAGAATGATACTACTTTTTTATAATATTACAGATTAATTCTCCACGGACTCTAGGTCCGTGCCCTTGTCATATTTTTTTTTATTATAATACATCTAGTCAATTTTTATAAAGTAAAGACACACTACAATTAACTACATCTATAATTATTGCCAAATGTATAAATTACATAATAATTAGGCATTATCTATTTATTTCTATTTCGAAGGCTTCATGATATCAGCCCACCAACAAGATGGGAGAGCCGACCTGACCCAGCAGAAGTGTTCACGAGTATGACGTGTGTGTCAGCAATTGGTCCGGTCAACCTTTTTATTGGGAACGGAACAACCCAACACACAGCGCCACCGACTGTAGGACATTTATGTGTGCATGACGCCTCAACCCTTGCCACGTTTGCCGATTCCAATAAAGCTTATACAATAGTTGGACTATTGTAAGTCAATAGGTTATTTTCTATTTCTACATGTTTCTGCATACACATTTCCTCATGTTGCAATCGTTTTATCACAAGCAACATTCCCCGACTAAGAGAGCACCCACAACTGCCGTGTCAATGATACTATTTATATAGTTTGTTTATTTATAAAACAAACGTTATTTAAAAGAAACGAATAATAGGCGTTCTATTATTACCAAAAGGGTAGCCACAGACGATAATGTTATGGGTTTTACAAAACTAATAATACAATATAGTCCTGAAAAAAGTAATGATTTTTACCGGTTGTCATCAATCTATCTATAGTCTATATAAATAAAAATGAATTGTTGTTCGTTAGTCTCGCTAAAACTCGAGAACGGCTGAACCGATTTCACTAATTTTGGTCTTGAAATGTCCGTGGAAGTTCGGGGAAGATTTAAAGGGTAAAAAAAATTTAGGCGGTCCGTAGTTTCTCGGGTCAGCTACGCATCAATACACGAGGACTAGTTCCCCGTAAAAGTGGACTGGACGGACAGTCGTGCCAGTGAACAGTCAGGGCGCAACCATGTTAATTTATGTGACATTTACACAGACAGGAGCCGCCTCTGACCTTCACAAACCTGGATATAACTTCTCTTATGATATATTATTCTGACTTAGCTACATTTATTTAAATATGGTTCTAAAATTACACTTTTAGATAATAAATAATAAAAAACACCAATATAAAATGGGAGCCAACCGGTATCGGGAGCATGAACCATGCTCACGAAACATTCAATTTCACATACACATGACACCCAGACCAGAAAGAACAATTTGTGGATTAAAGTTACTCCGTGCGGGAATCGAACCCGCTAGACGTTGCGCGGCAGCCAGTTGCCCAGTCACCGAGCCAACCGTGCAGTCTACCTTCCGTGGGTTAGGACTTCAGAGACAGAAACATCATCACAATGCATGCCATTGCAAGGAGAACTGCTCATTCATAGTGTGGCGCACTAGTTGCACCACTATTTCAGACTCATTGGCAAGAGGCAATAATAATCCTATCAGTGATGATAGGTCGATCCTAGTACATACTTGCAGCAAAGGGCTACTGATTATGCCTATGCAAGTAAGTATTGGGTGTTAGACAAACGCCCACAATCAGTAAAAATATATCTGATGAATTGAATACTAAGTTGGCAGAGTGGTCCCAAGTGCGACTGCTGCTGGGCACCCCTTGCCCTCGGGTTCGATTCCTGGGTCGGGCAAAGTATTGCTAGGGATTTTTAAAAAATGTTGGTACTAGCACGGAGAGTGAAATTGAGCCCGGTATACGGCAATAAGTTTACCCCCTATTCCATGGGACTCACCACAATAAAAATAGTGAAAAGTGAGTGTTATATTGTACAGTGGCATTACGATGGTCAAAGGTTGACAACACGTAACTGCAATGTAGCAAATTTTACAGGAGAGTGAAAAAACTGTTTAGTTTCGAGAAACAAATTAGAAAAAAATAAAACAAAAAAGTAGTTTGTAGGTAATCAAATTATTTATTAATATAGCTTAAATAATAAACGATGACCATCGAATTGCCGTAATGTGCATCTCTGCCTACCCCTTTGGGGGAAGGCGTGATAATGATGACCATGATGATGAATTAAATATCTACAGTAATTAAGGATAAATTTGCTTTATAAGTAAGAAAAAAAAATTAAGTCCGTTCGGTAGTTTCTGATCTTCGAATCCTCAACGTTAGATACAAACTTACAAACGCTCTTTGTGTATAGATACTTTAGAAAACTCAGGTTGCCTTTTGTTTTTTTAGAGCCTTTAATTTAGGCCTGTGTAGGCGCCTGACGCCTGACAGACAGCGGAACCCGTCACCGGAAGTGACCCAAAAGGTTGCGCGCTCCTGACACCCCGCGGCGCACGTGTCACTTTTCATATCGGAATATCTTTATGAAAATTTCAGATAGGTAACTAACTAGACAACAGGTTTGGTTACTGTAAAAGTGTAAAATACTGTTAATGCATGTTCCTTTAAAGTTAGTAGGTATAGAAACAGGTGTCTTTTATTCATCGAAGAATAAGCAAGAAAGGTACTAGGAGTAAGAAAGGTCTATCTGTATATTAAAAAAAAAAACTAACCCAATAACGTTTCCTATCTGAGAATCGAAACTTTATCGTCCTCTGTACCCTTAATCGTTTGACGCACTAGCGGCTACTCGACCAAAGACGGAGTCGAAAATCAAAATTAAATAATTTCATAGCATAATTTGACTATTATGTCAATAATTAATTTTTCATTATGAAATAATTACCCGGGCCTACAACCCTTAAACTGTCAAACACCGAGCGGTCACCGGTGACCGCAACCTATTGTTCTATAATTGTGTCTATAATGACGGTACTCAACGAAATTTAAATAACGAAGCCCCTCGAAAATAAGATATCTACCTCATAAACCAAGTAAAATGTATATATTATTATATAAAAGAAAGTTGTGTTAGTTACACTACTTATAACTCAAGAACGGCTACATCGATTTGGATGACAATTGGTGGGGAGATAGCTTAGAACCAGGAGACGGACATAGGATACTTTTTTTTTACTTTTCGCCGAAAATCACGAACGCGAAGTCGCGGGCTGAAGCTAGTTATTCATATTTCTATACAACATTCTATAAAAAGCACCAAGCACAATTTTACTAAACTGGCCCTTCTTATTTATACGACCACCACACAAATTAACAAATCCGTTCTGGATTTTACAAAGCAGCCTCAAACATCGCTTTAGCTTCAACACAAGATCCTGTAAATAATACAATGGAGCATGGATAGACAGAATCACAACGAAATTAATACTTAACTTAAGGCTAGAGGCATCTAAAATACATCTTTTATAATGAAACGAGTAAATCAAGTTCTTGCTTAAAAGCCATGAGTTCGGTTCCCTAGACGTCTGTATAATTTACTCGATAGATAAAATTACTCGATTTTCATAAAAATCATAGAAAGATGGGTTACGTACACCTCATGTTACTAATTTACGATATGAATGTCATAGGTATTATACAGAAAATAGTTTTCAAACTGAAAAATTCAATGGAATCAAAAAGTTTCGCGGCCTCGTTGTTAAGTACAACGGCCACCGATTCTACCACGATATTAATAACTACAACATTTTAAAATAGTGTTAAATATTATCAATCGGACTAAACCGGACTTTTAGTGATTTTAAATTCTGACCCTAAAATGCTCTTCAGCGTCTGGGGTTACAGATTCAATCTTTTAAGACTGCCCAATAAGTGTAACGAAAATGCACCAAAACTTGTAATACACCAACTGCATAAATGAATTAATACAAAAATAATACAATTAACAATATTCTCACCTGTAAATATTACGGCGACTGTCGCCAGCTGCAGCAGTTTCAGCGACCACATAGTTTCAGTTTATAATGAACCACCAACTCGAGTGTCATACGCAAATCATAGTTAGAGTGCTAACAAAATAATCGCAAAAAGGTCATTTGAAGGATAAAAACAGATAAATAAACCAAAACAATTTTAATATGCAGCGATTAAAATATAAACAACGTGTTTTAAGAGAACCAAAAAAAGTGAAATACGAAAATGAATTTGCAGTAAATGGTTAGTCGGTGTGTTTCGCGGAGTACGTTCGTCAGTTTGTCAGTCGGCCAACTATTTCAGCAGAGCCGAAAGCTTGGCTGCGCCCCTCGCAACCCCACCACCCTTTACGTGGTGCAGAATGGGGACAGGGAGCGTCCCACGACCATAAAGAAAATGGTCTTTAGTCCTCTGATTGAAACAATATTTGTTGGCTTGAAAGGTGTCGTGCAGGTTTCATAGCTCGTTAACTGAACTGTGCTAGTTTGTGACTCATTTAGGAGACTCGCTGATCTCATTTTTAAATAGGCCAAAATATAGGCTAGGATAATACCTGGGGTACTTATAGTACCAGTCATTGACCTAGAGCCATTTCGGTTAGTAAGAAAACGCCATAATTGGGAATAAGACCAAAATTGTCAACTGATTCCTATGGTAATTTCTACGTACTGCCTTCATTTCTCGCTGTAAGGGGTCAACTGAGGAGTAGGCTGACTCAGGGTTTCACGTATGCCTTTAGGAATGCTAGAAATTGATGCTTCTACAAAATTTCCTTTTATGATACTGTTCTACATTTTGACATGATCTCTTTCATAATTCGCTATTATCGGTAGGTACGTTATAACTACCGACAACGATAGATAAGAAATGAGAATCGTACATGGGCGCGTGTTGTGTCCCGGAAGAGATTATATAACATATATGTGCAGTTATGAACATATTTCCATCACATGTCTTGGAATATTGAATATAATGCCACCAGGAATTAAATCCGTTTATGTACATATCACAGAGTGCACAAGACACGTATCGATAATTTCTATTGTGCTTTCATTACTTAAGTAGCGTTATAGTGTGTCGGTAGGTAATTTCTAACTTCATACGAAATTTATAATGGTGAGTGTTGAAACCATTTGCGATGACTCGCGTGGAGCCTAGCCGCCCAATCCCTGCAATGGTTACTTACCATCACCAACAGCCTATAAATGCCCACTGCTGAGCAAAGCCTGTCTCACACGGAGAAGGTTGAAGCATCAATCACCACACTTGCTCAATGTGGGTTGGCGATTACAAACTTATAATTAGAAATTAAAAGCCCAGGTTTCCTCACGATGTTTTCCTTGACCGTTTGTCAGTGGTATCTAGATAATAATCTTAGAACGTACTTAAAACTCGGAAAAAGCCACATTGGTTCTTGCCGTTGGTAGGTTTCGAACTCGCGCCCTCATGCATGGGAAGCGGGCGTCTTTAACCTCCGGGCCACCAGGACATACTGTTTACTGTTTGCCAAAAGATTCTACTTTTCTATTGATCCTGACTCACAAAATTAAGAGTTTTATATTATAAAATATTAGTATTTGATACTATACTTACTCAACCGATGTTGTGCTAAACGAAATTATAACGCAGAATTTTTAAGACCCTTATAATTATAACATTATAAGTACTCCAAGTAGGAACCTATGAACAAAAAGATAAGGTAATAGGAGCTCATAACTCTTGGCCTGCTAGCGGCGCGGCTCCGACCTATAAAGAGGGTGGCGAAAGGTAACGAAGTCATAAGCTCTAAATGCCGCGCCATGATTGTCTACGCTACGGGCTAACATTTGTGCAAGCCATCCAATTAGGGGCTGTGTTCCTAGCAGGCGAAGTAACCTTGCAGTGTTGACGACACGAAGGTTATTTTACTACTAAACGTTATGATTTCCTATTCGATTTAGTGTTGCGTAGGTTTTAGATGTTAATTTTATATGATTTTTCTAAGTTTAGAGAAATCCCACGGCATATTATCATTGAGAATTTTTTTTAAGGGTGGAAAACCATCGATTGACTATTCCCGCCTGGGTGACGCGGGAGTAAAAAAAGAGACTAAAAACCACCCCGTTCCTTCTCCTGCACATCGAGCCGGAGCCACGATAACTCGTTAGGATTTTTGGATAATGTAGACACCGTTTAATGTACCGAATTTTCCCTAAATGTGTTCTGAGAGGTGTCCTTTAGATCTTTCTTATATTGTTAATCAAAATTTTCAATTAAGGAAATAATAGGATAAAAAGAGAACTTCCCGAATTAGCTAACGAATTACCTTATTTAAAAAATTAGGATTTTGTCAAACGAAAGTTTTGTGATTTCTTTGAGATTGAAGTTATGATGTTACATTTTTTGCGTTAAATTATAGCCAATGGAAGTGTAGATAATAATTGTATAATGTATATTTATTGTTAGAACGAATTTGTATTCCTCATTATACAAAAACATATCTTGTATTGTTATTTTCGTGAGACATAATAAATTAAAATAATGTTTTTCGACTTATGTAACTCTCTGACAAGGAACTCGACTAGTTTCAAGTCATTCTAGAGGCTTATATTCATGAATTGCATTCCGCGATACAAGACAGAGTAGCAAAGTGAGTAAAAGCCGAAAAGTATAATAATAGAAACGTTTCCATGTATTATTCTTCGGGTCCAATTTACTCTTATTAACTGTTTTTTATTAATTTATTAAAGTACTAGTACTAACGGTCCGAAAGTCGATAGCTTATCATACTAACCCACCTAATTAGAAGTACTATGGAATGAGAAAAACAATGAAATAATGTTTATAAACATGTTTTATTAATAACTGAAATGTACATTATTATTTAAACTACAATTGTCATACATACATCTGTTACAGTACTTGCGGAACTATCTCAGAGGCGAGCAGGACTTGTATACATTGACATTCACTTAGGACAACGTACAGGAAGGCAGTATTTTTGATTATTCTTTAAATGTCCCAGAATCATACGGGGTATTTAATAAAATTGTCTTATGCCGGTGCCAGACTTGTGCGCACATGTTTTTTCTTATTGTGTGACACGGAAAAATAGCATCAAATATTCAAATGCCCGTGGCACACATTGTGAAAATATATATGCGCACAAGTTTGGCGCTAGCGTTATACAAAACATTTGTTAGCATCCACTTCTATATTAAAATTAGTCACATAAACAGACATGTCTTATCAATTATTATGCCATTTTGCGATTAGTGCATTAAATTACAAAATAAACAACACGAACATATTATTGAAATTTAATTGTAATAGTATAATTTTTGTATAGTTTCTAATATCCAGACATTTGTTACAGTTTTGTTTGAAAAGTAATATATCCAAAATGAGCGAATTTTTCACTATACCGTGGTTCTGGGATCTCTCCCGAGACCTTCTTAAGTCTTTTACAAATCAAGTTGAGCAGAATACAAAGGAATAAAAATTAAATGCTATACAGTGGTAGGGAATTTCTACTGCAAGGAATTCTAGCATTTGAGCCAAATACGTTAGAGTTGAAAGTTCTATCATATATTTATTCCTGCAGTTTTGTTTTCGAACAGTTACTATGATGGTACATAGTGGGCAGCGGCCGCGTAACATGGCAGTACAAAATATAAATTATATAAATACAATAAACATAAGTTTTATATGTACATCAACAGACGCACACCCACAACTCTTAATTTAAAAAATAACAATGTTAATCTACACACAGAAACCTAAAACTAAAATATTTTATCGTCTATGACTATTATATACACAATTTACAGTTATTCAAACTACTTTGTCTAATATCAGTGAGTGATCCAATGTCTAGTGGAGCTGTCTGTCCATTCATTTCAAACAGAATATTTATTCAACAAATAATTACAAAGAACAATTATTATTATTTTAATGCTTTATTAACAGGTGCAGAAATTTAAATATAATAAAATATAATATGTAACTTTGTATATTAAAATCACAAAAATGTCAAAGCGAATAAATAGCGTCTGTTTGTAAAACGGATAAATAAATGTTGCGTTGTATTGAAACATGGATGAATTTGTATTCAATATTTAAACAGATGCCGTTATCAGTTGTACACACAACACTTGAAAAATGATTTACAATTATATCGACTACATCACTCCAACGTTTGAACTGAACAATGAACTACAAGGTCGAGGGACGTGCCTTCCCCGCCTCTACCTCATTATATCACACACTACATTGTATCAACAGATATGTCAGTTTGTTATAAACCGAATTATTATGATACGTCAATAAAATAATATAGAAAATATATTTCAAGTTTATAAATACGAGATCCGACTCAAAACAAACTTCATTATATAAGATACGAAAACAGTAAATTAAAAGTTCAATAAATAAAAATATTTTCTCCTATTATCAGGTAAGGTACATATCAATAGATATATGTAATTAAAATTAACCCGTTGCTTTCATCGTTTGTAGAATGGAGTACGATAGTTGCGTGTTACCGTCACTGGTAAAGTCGGTAAAGCATTGTTTAAGTAGATAGTTTGACGTCGACGCTTCGAACACAAACACAGTTCAGAGGCCTTAGTACGAGTTTCATTTACGTTTAAAGTATTCGAAACGAGTATGCGTTCGGCACTCTGATTGGCCGGCACCAATGAAGCAACCAATCACAACGCCGAACGCGTACTCGTTACGATTACTTTAAACGTAAAACAAACTTGTACTAAGACCTTAGGGGAAAACAAGTGCAGTATACATTTACACACCTACTATTACTCCCATCGGTGTTTGCTATGTAATGGAATCAAGAAAAGCACATACAAAAAAGTCACAGAAAGTTAATAAAAAGCTAATATAATTCTGTGTTCGAAGCTGCGACCGTATTTAATTTATATATAACGTTTGTGCATATTATTAAGTAATGCCCACAATAAGTTTACATTGGTCGTTACTACTGAGCCATTTCACCTACATCAGATCTTTATCCATAATACATTTGATAACATATTTAATCTCAATCGAATTGTATATAAGAAAATTTACCGAAAAACGCATTACAATAAATAAATAATAATTACATTTTGGTAATTGTAATATTTGACCTATGAATGTTAACTACAAATTGAGTATTCATAGCTAATAAATAAATAAATAACGTTTATCGTTCATAATCATAATATACATATAGTTTAACAATATACCAATAAAAAAGTGATTATAGTTAAATGCGACACAATAAGTTTTACGCCATTCGACGTGGGGAAACTGTCATATTACGGTAGTAGTGTTCGTCTGACGACTGAGATCAGAACATTTGAACTGCATGTTGATAACGTAACCGTTATATATTTACACTACGAATGTGTCGCCATTCGCCATCTCACCTCACTAATTGACTTGAGCAAGATCACCCTACTTGGTAGCGTTATTGGACACGGCGCGGCGTTTGCAAGTCGACAAACACTTTCATCTCTTGGAATGATTAATTTAAATCGATATGATACTTGTATGTTTACTTTAAAACCCTTACTGCACTCCTAATTTATTTATATACGCATCGGTATAACATATGCGTCCAATAAAAATTGATTGAATCAACTACGCCTTAATATTAATTTTATATCTACGTACCAAAATTTTGAGAATATACGTAGGATCTAAGAGCGTGTAGATAGATGTTTGACAAATAATTTAGTATCATAGTTTATATAAGATAACAAAAGAAGGGATACTTTATAGACAAAAGTATACAGAAATAACTACTGCAAATTGCATCGCCAAAATCAATAAATTACTTTTTTGTAGATTTCATAAATAGCACAATTTTAAAAATTAATCTCCGAATAAAAGAAGACTTAGTAATTGGTCATAAGCAATGATTACAAATCTCATGACTGAAGCGACCCGCATATTATGCAACCTTATGTCTTGAAGAAGCGAACGCGATATACAAAGGTACGACGAGACAAAACTTAAACTAGTCGATTCGTAATTCTAAAGGTTTAGTTCATTCAGTGTTATAAATTGTTATTAAAATCTACACAAAGGCGTGTTTCATTTGTATACAGTATGTTAAAAAATTACAAAATTTAATCAACAAAGCGGAAAAAAGATCACAAATATGAATGTCACTCTAGATTTACGAATCGGGACAAAGTTCGAAAATTATTCACTACACCTTGTCTTTTACTCTCGTCTGTACCTAGCCAGACACTGTTGGTACAGTCTGGCCAACTGAGGTCTAACAAAATGAAACATTTTTAAAACAAATTACTTGAGTTGATGCCTTATATCCTGTTGTTCTGCGCGTGCGCGGGTTCCGGGAGGACCGGTTTGTCCACAGCTCGGTACAGTGGGTTCTTGCCCTTGATCGGGAATGGATGGGCTTCAGTGTTGAACACCCACTCGTCAAGCGGCAGGAACGAATCGTCAGCGAATATCAGGTATAAGTACTGAAATAAAAATTGTAATGGTTATTTGGAGATATCGAATAGAACTAAACTTTAAATTACTTTAAATAAAGTTCGAAATGATAAAATTGATACATTTTCTTTGATCTAATCGCTTATGAATGCTAATATTTTTATTGAAATGTTCATAAACCAGTTAGGTACCCGAAAATTAGTAAAGGTTGTGAGATTAAAACATGTATTTACTTATTAATTTAGAATCTGGAACTTTGTTGAAATGTTACAGTTGTAAATTGGGAGTACGAAAGATGCATGGAAAAGGCATAAGTAAAACGCATCATAGTAGCGCGCGCATATTATTTGAGTCATAGCTCAGTGGCCTTCCAATTACATTAGGGTCAGATTAATTAATGGCCATAAAATAAATTGGCCGCGACGAAATAGAGCAAGGTTAACTGAAAGCAAATATATCAATAGAATCGCGTCATAGTATGTCGGGTGAAGTAGCGCGAAGTTGCCGGACTTTCGTCGACATGTCTGGCAACATCACTGTGGACAATGTTGTTGCCGTAATGTCAGGCGACATCGGCCGGCTTCGCTCGACGCGACGTGTCGAAAACGACGAAAGAAGTATACAGAGCGGATATGAATAGGGCCGTCGGTAGAGGGCGTCCTAGACGGACATATACTGACCAGATTGGCGAAATATTAAAGAAGGGCCAAATTATAAGATTAACGACTGTTGATGAAGTGAAAGAGGCATGAAGGAATCGTAGTAATTGGCGTGCCCTAGTCTCTGCCTACCTCCATGGGAGACAGGCGTAAAGTTATGTATTGTTTAAAGTTATGTGTTATGTATTAATTGTATTTTACGGAAGGAACAATTTTAGTTGTTTGTAACTTTAAACTGTCATATAATCATGTAATATTACTGTAACGGTCAGCTCACACCGAGATGCGACTTTGTGCCTAAATTCTAAAAGATTGGCTTAACTAAATTCTGTTTTCTACAGGACAAGGTTTCATATGATGCGTCTGGTGGCGGGGCACAGTGGCCGATTTACAGGCCTTATACAAAATCATCAATATCTCGGTCTGAATTTATTACAATATGTATAAGAGATGTCGCTCCGAGTTCTTTGTGCGTACCGCTAAGGAGTCGAATTCTTTACCAGACTCTGAGTTTCCAGTAAGGTACTACCTCTGTTTCTTCAAGTCTCGAGTGAATACGTTCTTTACAGTCCTATACCCTACATCATATACGGAGTCGCGGGGAACGTAACGGGTTACCGGGGCTCCGGCTAGAAGTGCAGGAGTAGGAACGGGGTGGTTTTAAGTCAGTAAGAGTCTAGCACTCTCTGCGGCCTTATCCAGGCGGGAGCAGTCATTCGATGATTTTCCCCCCTTAAAAAAAACCTACATCATGGCTTACCACCAGGCCAGTTGTGGCCAAACCCTGACCTATAAAGTATATATATAAAAAAGGTATACCTTGAGTGTCTCAGCGAGGAAGAAGCTCTGTTGCACGTCGTCTCCCTGTGGGTTGGCGTGGTAGACGTTCACGAGACCGGTGTAGCCGCCTTCCACGCGGCAGTGCTTCTCCAGAGCCTGACAATAAAGTGACAAGTGAAAACTCTAGTTTCTTAAAAATATTTTTATTTATACGTTGCCCCACACTAACATATAAAACACAGACACAACAACAATTAGTGGATCACACAAAAAATAATTCCATGCAGGAATTGAACCCGCGACACATTGTACAGCAGGCAGTTGTCCAGACACAGGAGCAACCGTGCAGTCTACATACACATATACATACACATAGACCAGGAATGGCGAACCATTATTGGCACGCGTGCCATTGATGGCACCCAACACAATATTTTAGACACGTTATTGACCACAAAATCTATCCTATGTCGTTATTTTTTTCAGACAGAATACCATTGATGATTCATTTCCACAAATAATTCAAGTTCAGCGTGAATTAATTATTATACGTATTTTAATGTCCTTAAGTTTTTCTTTGAAAAAATTGCTCGTTGATACTCAAAGGTTCGTCATCTCTGACATAGACAATGTTGAAGAGATGGTTATTTATTTATTTTTTTTAAAAACGTTGCCCCACATTAGGATTTTCTCCTGTGTCGTGGGTGCGTTTACAAACATACAAGTTCACATACACAATGACACCCAGACCCGAAACAACAATTTGTGGATCACACAAAAAATAATTCCATGCAGGAATTGAACCCGCGACACATTGTACAGCAGGCAGTTGTCCAGACACAGGAGCAACCGTGCAGGCAATTTGTGGATCACACAAAGTGTTGTTCCGTGCGGGAATCGAACTCGCGACACGTTGCACGGCAGCCGGTTGCCCAGCCACCGCACCAACCGTGCAGTCTCATTATTAGATTAATGACTTGTAGTGTCATACCTGAACCGCCTCCCAGGCCCAGTCGCGGTACATCTGTTGCTTGGTGAGTCTCCACATGATGAAGTAGCTCTCGAACGTCTCGGGTCGCAGGAGGTACACCTTCTCATTGCTCTTCTGTGCACGCGCCTCAGCCGCGTTGGAGAATCTGCAACAGGCAATTTGTAATTACAACAAGCAACAAGAAGCTAGTTGATTCTGCCAGTGAATTTGACCGCGTTCCTGGGAAAAAGTACCCGTACACAGATCTATAACTGCACCAGACATTCGATGTAGTATGAACAAAGATTTCTTATCTTTAAAATTTTACATAAACTAGTATGAGTGTATTATTACCGGAATGCTTCAGGGCCGAGTTTGGTCTCAGATCGTGCGTAGCTCTCGTGGCAGGTATTGGTCAGCTTCTTAGCAACGTCCATATAACGCTCCGACATCGAGTTGTCCAAGGTAGTCGAAGCCAACGCGAACATACCGCCTGGAAACATGATACACTTATATTAACAACCTTAACATAATGCAATCAAGTTCATTTTTATTTGTTTTTATGTGTTTTTAGCATTTAATAACTCCTTTATGTTGGCGATCTAAAATCAACCATAACTGTAAAGAAAGAAGGATCTCGTTTGAGCGACACATGAATATTGGAAGAGCAGGGATATCAAGATTCTTATCAACAAGTAAGAAAGTACACTAACCAGCGAAGCACGAAAGATGGTCCATCTTCTCTTCAATGATACGTCCGTACTTGAGCTCGGCTAGGTAAGCGAGGCCGGAGGGCGAAACACGTAGCATTTTGTCGAGCGCCGCCTGCATAGCTGTATCGAACATGATGCGAGCCTGCTCGTCGGCGCCGCCAGACATTAGCCACGCCTTCAGTAAGTACTCGTAAAACGAGTCGCCCAGAGCGCCCAGTGACATGTGTCCTGAAAAAAGAAACAAATATATTTGGTGAGTCCAATTTAGAATAGTATGTAGCATAGTACATTCTGCATACAGAATAAGAAAGACTAGAAAAAAAACTTCAAGTCATAATGCGGCGAATTCAAGCTAATTTGGGATTAGGAGTAAGTCCATTGTCCATGTTCAATACAGTGATCATGAAATTGACATTATTTTACTCTTTTGTCTGAGAGCCTCTTAAATGAAACTGAAGAGCTCTATTAAATGAAACTAACTTTTCTGAGAAAATATTATAACTAGTTTTTCGATTAGGAATTTTTAAAGAATAACATGGCACTTCTGTATATTCTCTTACTATATTAGATGGTTGCTTGACACTACATTATGAAAACATATGACTTTGCTTAGTGACGAAGATTCTTCCATAAGCTCGTAAACCTAATACAAGATAAAGTAGCCTCGTCAATCATGTTTCAGTGATTCTTTTGTCTCCATGCAGTGGTCAGTAAACCTGCATGCTTCTAGGGTCAAAGGGACTAATGTATTGACCTAACCAAAGCGTCTTTCAAGTCTATCCGACCTTGAATCAAGCTTTCATGAGAATATAATTTGTGAACCACTTAGCTATTGATAGATTTCATCAATAAGTCTATAAATATATTAATCAAAAGGATATATAAGGATTAATATTATGATTAAGTTACTGTACTGATAATTATGAAATCGAAACAACCAAGAAATCTATCCCCGATAAGGAAACTAGACTCAACATTGTAAATTTGACGTATATACGTTTTTAAATGTCAATAAATCATTTACAACTAAATATATACACCTTAATATAAAAATTAATTAAAATAAAACTAAAAACAACTATTCACATAAAGTATCGAAAAATTCGTCCGCATCGACGTCAGTGATGAAAGTATCCAGAAGGCTGGCAGCATTGCCACGTTGTATGGCAATGCTTAACCTCTGACCGAGAAAAAGACCAGCCCTCTGGTCACGAGATGCGTCCACCAAATAAAACTAAATCGTGCGTAAATTTGCAACTATTTCGACAATTTAACTTACAATCGATAAAATGTCGAGTTCCTTACATCAAGTACATGAAAACGTTTAAACCAAAATGATCTCATCCACAACTTTAGATGTCACGAAAATATCTTTATAGTAGGCAACCCTAAGGCAATGACAACCTAACTTAGGAAATAATACGCAAAGTTCCGCGTTCATTGCGGCATTTGTTTGTGACGTCATCAGTGTTATAGCAAGGAAGCGGTAAGCACTTAAACTACTGCAATAGACGTAAAGTTATATCTATCTTTGTATAAAACTCTTTCGTTATTGACTGACTGACTGATAGACAACGCACAATTGGAATTACTAGACCTTGGAAGCTGAACCTTAGTATGCGTGTTTTTTAGGGAGTTTAGAGGTGTCCTAAAAGAGAGGTTTTTTTCTGAATTCCCACGGGTGTCGAGAATAAGTATTGATTCCGATGTCCGGATTTATAAAATAATTATGGATATTTTAAATACCCCAGTCAGTCGAATATTCATTGTGAATGCCTAGTAAGTGTCGGAGATGCAGCTTTGGAGGAAACTGCCTTTGAAATTTTTTATGACTTTAATTTTTTTTTTCTAGTTACAAAATAACTGGTTTCAAATTTAGTAAGTCTATTTGTGCAAAACTTTATTGAGATTTCATACTAAAAAGCGCTTATCATCACTAAACCGACTTCATAACTTCTTGATAAAGAGTCTACAAACAAACAGTTATCAAAAAGTAATTAAATTAAAAATATCGTAACAATTCTAAAGAAATGAGAGAAAAGAAAAACCCATTTAGTTGTTTATGCAAATTCGAGAAATTGTTATGATAACGACAATATTTATAAGTTAGCTTGAAACGTAAACATATTTATTTAATTGTAACAAGGAAAACACTCTCCGCCAATGATGTTATTTATACGAAAGATAGATAATAAGCGTTCAGAAATTGGTACATTAAAATGTGGCCATTTGTCCACAATTTACCTCGGAGTTGAGTTGCGATGTCAACGTATTCATGTGTGTATTAATTAGTGTGTCGATTTTGTAAATCGAATGTTGTTTAGCTAACCTAATCTACCTTTTACCTATAACAGCATTATTTTCCGCCAGTTGGTCTCTATTGAATATTCTGTAACTAACTACTGCGAATTTTCGAAACCCGAAAATAGACAATCATCATCAACATCCTATAAATACCAACTGCTGAGCAAAGCCTCTTCTCACACGGAGAAGGTTTGAGCATTAATCACCACGCTTGCTAAATGCGGGTTGGCGATTACAAACTTATAATTAGAAATTATAAGCCCAGGTTTCCTCACAACGTTTTCCTTCACCGTTTGTCAGTGGTGTCTAGATAATCTTAGAAAGTACATACTAACTTAAAAAAGTTACATTGGTACTTGCCGTTGGTAGGTTTCGAACCCGCACCTTCATACATGAGAAGCGGGCGTCTTACCTATAATAAAATAGACAATAACCAATCCAAACTCGGTGGATTGAGATCGATTTTTGACAGAAACTAGTATAAAAATGTCAGACATTGAACCAATTATATCAATGTGTAATCGTATTGTGGCAGTTAAACGAGACATCTAAATTAGTTAAGTACCTATGTACTGTAATATAATAATTAATGCTGACAAAAAGATAACTGTTGTCCAACGGTCCATTATTTGGTAACATAGAAACTCCAATCGAATTAGATATTCGTATTATGAATATGCTACTACAAATTAAGAGTAAGTTATGTAGTCTCACGATAAATTGTACTTAGTTTAAAATTTGAATAGACTGATAAGAAGATATTTTTAACCGACTTTAAAAATGAAGTTCTTATTTTGACTTGTATGTACATTTATGTTAGTCTACGATTACCTCGTGATTAGCTGAACCGATCTGGATGCAGTTTTCAGAACCGACTTCGAAAAAGGACGGGTTTATCGTTTGCAAACTTAGTTTATGAAATAAATATTCTAATATTACTTATATTGGTATGGAATGGAATTTTCCAGTTTTAAAAATAAGAATAAACGCGTATGCCTAATAGATACGTAGTGTTGTTATTTTTTCATAACAAAATAATATTAATCTCGAGACTAGACCTTTCAACTAATGTTATCAAAAAAAAGAACCCAAGTAGGTATTCCATTAACGATTACGATGTTTAGTAAGCTGACCTTATTCTTGGGATTTCCACATAACAGTGTATCATATCATTTCATACGTAAGTAGATACGAACGTATTAACCTTTGTTGATAAGATTTTGAAGTTGTTTTGTCATATTTGCCACGTTGGCAGGAAATTCTGACATTTATGACACGACACATAATAATCGTCATCAATAATAGACAATATCTTTTCCATACAAAACTAGCGTCTCCTGTGCGAATTCTCCTGCGCCCATTGATCGTAGATGGTTTTTAAGCTTCCTCAATAAACAGACTATTTACCATAAAAATAATTAAAGTTATTCGAACCAGCAGCTGTAGCCAAATGCCATTTAGCGCTTGTCTACATGTAGAGAAAACCAAATTATATGGAATTGACGTAAATTTTGACACTTGTTAGTGTCATCCCCATACATTTTGATATCTACTCTTTCTGTAGACAAGCGCTAAAATGGCGTTTGGCTAAAGGCCCAGTAGTTAAATTAGCACGAACAAACTCTTTAGCTTTATAATATTACGTACCGCCTTTTAAACCTTCCCTGGACTTCCACGAACATTTTCAAGATGAAAATTAGCCAAATCGGTTCAATCGTTCTTGAGTTTTAGCGAGATTTCCGGTCGTTACGGAAATTGATTTTTATTTATATAGATATTATATAGATTTAGTTATGGCTATTCCAATCTAATATGTTGTTTGTCTTTAATTGTGTATTAAATTAACAACTTCTTAAGATTAACAATCTACACCGGATATAAGATATTACAATTATAATCCGACATATCACGTGTAGTACACAATAATACTTATCAATGTTTTAAATATAATAACATGTGAGATTACAGACATTTGTACAAATATTTTAATACCTATTTGTTTTATTTTACTTGTACTAAACGAAACGAGACCGCGTTCGGTGCTCTAATTGGTTGGTTTATAGGAGCCGGCCAATCAGAGCACTGAACGCGGTCTCGTTTCGATCTCGTACTAAGCCCTCTGACGCAGTTTTTCTTTCAATTTTGGGGTCTTCTCTCTTCCTCAGTCTTAACCAGGTTTGCCTGTATGACAGTATTTTACATAAGTCTCTGACTCCTGTCTTTGTTATTCCACCTGCTGATTGTTTTTCCACATTCTTGATTACACTCATTGTCAGACGCTTTAGTACCAAGATTTTTCTGATATCATTCGCCTGGGTTATTGTAAGTATGTATGTTTGTTTGTACTTACTTTGTCCCCATTGTCCAGTGCGTGGGTTGATGAAGTTGGGGTACAAGTCGCCAGGTTTGTCGATCTGATCCAACACCTCACGAATGCGGCTCACCTTCTGCCTGTAAACTGTAAAACATTCGTTATGTACCATCTAAATAAAAACTTGTTTTATAAACTGAGTTTTATACATTTAGTTCAAATTATATTATTTTAAAAAACAGAGTTCCAAAGAACGTTCCCATAACTTAAACAATTAGTTGAACTGCGAATGTTTCAAATCAAAAACTATTCAAAGAAATGAAAATGTAACGGTCAAAACTCCGTACTGAATTTGGAAGCAAACTAAAAGAGATTCAAATATGTAGTTTAAATATAAGTTCCGAAGTCCTGACGGAGCTCTACTCCATCTTTCAAGTAACAAAAAGAAAGTAAAGTGCGAGGCATGTCGCGTCGGCTCGGACGTTTCAAGAGGACATGATGAATGGTTGTTAATAATATTGGATTATGACAAATGTGCTTACTATCGCGGCCCGTGACCTCACTGAGGTACGTAAACTCGAGGTGGAGCGTTCCCAGTTCAGATAGGATGCTGTTCGGACCCGCCCAGTGGTATTGACGACTTGCCTGCAAAATGTATGACATATATAGAAAAAATGGTGGCTAAAAAGTAATTAAAGTAAATGCATATAATATTCATGAAATAAATAACGCTTCTTTTACTATTCTATTTCACTGAATAGTTTATAGATAATTGAGATTCAATTTTGGCTGATATACCGATTAATTCAAGGATGTCAGTAATAACTGGTGACGCCTACAAGTCATGTGTCATGTATCTATTAAGTTAAGTCCTAATCATTGATTATCAAGGCAAATTGGCATGGTAACAGCAGCTCATTTACGCGTAACCAAGAATTGCTGATAAACATATGGACAGACAAGAATTGAGCAATACGGTTATCAATTAAATTGATATTAGGACTGGCGGTGATATAGTGGAACGAGAGTGAAATAAGTTTTGGGGGTGAGACAAATTTGGGCAGATACTTTTATTAATTGACTTGGTATAATATTATACAACATACTAATAAAATTCAAATTAATTTAATATTTAACGTTCGGTTATTGTCAATAGGGTAGTATCATAAATTTTTATTTTAATGTCCGTCTGGTAGATTAGTTTAAAACATTAGAAACGTATGTTTTCTTTTCCTACAAAATTAAATACTTTCGACGATATAAAATGAAATATCGTGTGACGTCACTATTTACTACACTACCAAACTATTATTTTCTTATACAACAAAATAAAAATATATTTTTCCATTATCCGACTGACGGACTAAGTACATTTTAAATTTTCATAAATATTTATGCGTATAATTTGTTTATCCTTAAACTTTGTATGCATAAGGAAAATATGTATGGTAAATAAAATAAAAATAGCATAAATATTATCAAGTAGCTATACCTAAACTAGATAAAGTAGGTACACGAGGCGATGTTTTAATATCACATGAACACGATAGAAAATATCGCGTGTCGAAATCCTATCGCATTTTACTTTGTGTCGAATCCACTTTTAATAAAAACCTACATTGATTTTAAATTCACTTGATTATGTATGTATCGTCATGTAGAACGTAGTCACCAATAACTATATTTATATACACAAATATTATTATTTAAATAAATATGCACGAATTCACTTATTATAAATGAATCCCTTTTTCCCTTGGTCACGCACCGCGTGAATGGCGGACCGATTTCACTAGTTCTCTTTTTGTTGTATTTGTTATAATTAGGAGAAGGTTCTTAAGACAAAAAAATTCTGAAAATCCTACGGCAACGGGAGAAAACGGGATTGCGCGTACGAAGTCGCGGGCAGTAGCTAGTACAAAATTCCCCATTATGCAATTTGTGATAAACTCATAAACTTTTATACAGTTCAGTAAAAATATTTTATACAGCTTTCCCCAGTATCGCGATTGCGTAAGATTTAAATATATGTTTATTCATAAAGGTTTGATTATTGTGTGCGACACTGTGGGTGGAAGGCTAGTTATTAGATATTCAGTAAAAGCATAACAAAATTATCTGATAAGTGGAACTTCAGCAATATTTCAGGATATTGCATTTATTGTAACCATCCTGTTTTAACGTCATCATATCGCGGAGGAAATTGGATCTTTGATTAATAAATAGTTCCATGGCCTGATAATTTACCAACGTACGCTACGTGCAACCTGCGAACGGGATTGATTTACGAAAACCAATTTTATTATATTAATTTATAGTTTATTCTTGAGTGCATGGTTTCCTAATGTTTAAGTTGTAAAAGTACAATGCCTAATTTGACCATGTTATGGTAATTTATAGTGATTTGTTGAAATTAATAGTTTCATTTCATTTCTATGATTGATATACGTATAAAATCAAAATTACTAAGATAAAGCAATGAACGCCCTACGGCAGAAAAACGTGAACATTTCAATTCCTCTAGTAAAACGATCATCTGCGTTCATTCATCATGACTTACCAATTAGAAAGGAGAGTCCTACGATAATAATGTCATATTATTATTACTTGTATAAACTGTATTTGAGAGCTATTTTGGATTTATTAACACGATTAATCAGATATGTCTAATTAGCATTGCAAGGATATTTAATAGCTGCAATAATAAAGTGCGTGACTCAAATTAAGTGATTATGGACAATTTTAAGACTCGAGTATCTTGATCCTTATTTAGATCTAGATGTTTGCGTTGGTCCAGATGTTATTGACGTGTGGTACTATTATATTATTATAATAAGTCAGATTTTATAATAACACATGTGTTTTGCTCATTTGCGAATCTCTAAGAGAGAATTCTTACTATTTGACAATGATATTTCGAAAATTTTGAATGAAACTTCTTTATCTGAAAGTCAGTCTAGAATAGTTGCAGCTAAATATGAGAATAGAGCAAAATAATCTAAATTATATTGAGAGTTAGTAATAGCAAGATAGAGTAAATACATTATGGTATCAGAATTGTCCAAATTATTATCAGTTCAACTGTCTATCAAGTACAAATACGATAAATACGAAATAGATATGATACTAGATACTAAAATATAATACAACAAATCTATCAAAGTGAAGTAAAATACTGTTATATATTGAAGAAGTTACAAAAATAATCATGAACATTTTGCAGAACATAATTAGTAGTCAAAAAATTATATAAAGGAGAAAAACAACAAAATAATTAAGCGTGTGAGCAGACATCTGTAAGGCGGCCATTTAATTACCTTAGTGGATGGGTTGATGAGAGCATATGGCAACCCGGTAGGTGTGTCGAATGCTGGCAGCAAGGCGTCTGCCACTTCCGCCGCCTTGTCTCTGAACATTGTGTCCCCGGTCAGCGCGTAACATGACAGGAGACCTCCAACAAACCGGATTGTCGTTTCGAACACAGATAAGTCGGAATCCTGAAAAAAAAAAACGATAAATTTCCTGAACACCCCATGGGGATCGTTAAACACAATTAAGGAGAATCAAGGAAAAAGTTCGTCGTGATACGGAAGCGCTTAAGCTAAAACCAACGTTGAATAGCAAATACGCACTTCGTGTTTTTGCTGTTGTTTAGGTACAATAGACTTCAAAACTAAAGGCTTTCATAAATCATGTGCGATCCAAATCTGTTAACTGTTATCAGCATCAGACATTGCTGCCTAAAAAAATAATTATGCTATTGTCAAAGTACGACACCAACTTATTGTTTATTATTTTCAATTTGAGTTACAATGAGAACATGTCCTTGTTTTAAATTATGTACGGATATTGATTGCTTACATAAACATTATTCTAAAGTAAACAATCAACATGGTACATATTTCTGCAAGACAAGTTCCATTCAACAAAAGCGTCGAATCCTCGGTTTTAATAAAGACGCGGTATAAATATGGACGGTTTCGAGAGTGCAAACAAATCAATTAGATATTTCCTCATTGACACGGATACCTAAATACTCGTTGTGCCCTACTTGTAGATGAAATGTGGCAATCTGGCTCCCTTGGCCTTTGTTATCGCCGACATACGCAAGTCTTAGTTTAGACTAACATGTGAACGGTCCATTATTAGACGTGTTATCCATCGCTATGGCCAATTTAGCATTTCGATGTACTCTTGATTGAAGCGAGCCAGTTAATTAACAAGAAAGATAAAAGCTTCATCTACGTCATTTTAGTTTAGTAACTTACTTACAGGCTAACGACGATTGAGTTTTGATTGGCATTTTTTTAGATAATACTCTTAAAACATCAGGAAGAACTAAAGCAAGAAATTGATGTTTTCTAACTCCGTAGATGATTATAGTTTGTCAGTTTTCCTAAATATTTGCAAATAACAAGCTTTGTTTGACTTACGATTTCATTAATATGCAAATGTTCAGCAACCCAGTCCCGTCCCTCTCGGAATTCATCGTTGAGTCCCATAAGGTAGAGAGTGTCGAGACCATCAACGATGGTAGCGCCAAGTTCGCCCGCTCCGAACACGCTGGACAAGTGAGCTCGCTTCGACATCGGCTTCAGCTCATTCTTGCCCCAAGCATAGAGTTTGTAGTTGTTCCACGCATGCAGCATCATCTGTGAAAGAACATTAACATGTTAATCGTGTTCTTAAACCATAAACAGAAGAAGATCAGTAGGTACTTGTTTAGATACGCCCTTTGGGTTTTACAAAATTTTAATATTAAGTGGTTTAGGTCTATTTAGCGCTCATTACGCGTTAAAAATTACATTACATAGCGTACGCGTATTTAAATTTTCCTCAAGTACCAACGCAACTTTATCCATCCAAATTTAGATTAAAACGTCAACAGGAAATACAAAAAATGTTTTCCGGATCATGTAAACTAATATTTTTTCATAAAGCACCGACCACATTTCACATTTCAAAGCCGTGCCGTGAACGAGGTCTTTTCAAAAAGTGTGCTCGCAAAGCTCTTATTCTGAACAAGTTTTAATCTCGACCGCTCTGTGCGGAGACGGGACACTAATGAAAGGATATCGGACTTTCGTCGGGGCCATTAATTATTATTAGGTACCGGGAAACTTTCAGTCCCCAGTGACTTGGAAAAACTGAGCGACTTAACCAATTACACTTTAAATAGAGCTTAGCGAGATGAAAAACAGATCGAAATTGTTGAACGTCGCGTAATGACGCGATCTCAACTGTGGAACTTGAATAATCAAGTAGTCCTCTACCGTTAGAATGTTAAAATATACTTCGAGGCTATGATTGTGAAATAATAATACTGAATGATGGAAATAATTGTGTATTGATAAGAGTAGATACTTGAAAAGATAGCAGGCACATTTACCTATAAAAAAAGGTAAAAAATACAATGGTATAAAATCACACCTGTTTAACAAATTGCTGCTTTTGGTCTGTCATGGTCTGGTTTTCGGTCGGTTCTGGGTTGACATCGATTGCATTATGAACATCACGGTACACTCGCAAATTTCGAAGCCGTCTTCCCGGAGACGGCCCAGAATTTAAATCCGAAAAGTTAACCAACAGTATCATAGTTCCAGTAAACACAATTCCGAGGAGTGCTAGGCGCAAGTAAGTACGCATTTTGAATTTATTAGTTTTTTCTTCAGACTATTTACTAGTTCTATCAACAAATAACAAAATTATTCACAGATTGTTGGTTTAGAATATTACTGAATTAACTATATTATATTGTATTTTTTTATTATCACTTTTAACGGCAATGTGTCAGGTCGCGAACCCGTTACGCGTAAGTGTGATCCGCGGAATGATGAATGTTAACAAATAGTAGTATAATGGCGGGGTCGTAGACTTGCGCGCGAGTCGACGCCGCCCGACTTATTGATTACGAATTTACGATGCGCGCACAGCCCGCAATCACATTGTTGATATTTAGAGATCTCTCAGATATCGGTGACTCCACATTGATGATAGGTATGTGTTATCGTAATACATTCCAATGCATTATGTTTTTCAGTTGGTAATTAATTAATGATGTAACATAAATACTGGTTGAAAGATTTATTAGATTACAATTTTTTTTTATATACTTGTCCCGGACATAAGACTAGGTAAATTTTTGATTACGAAATACACAGAGGGATTCCGAAATAACAATTTAGATATTGATTTTTTTTTAATTTTCTCATCAAACTTCTTAAATCTGAAGCTTCTTAGGACGATTAAATTTTAAAACTTAAATAGCCAGAAACAATTTCACAGATTACTCGTTATTAAAGTTACTGTAATAAGGGGGCGAGCCTATTGCCAAATACCACAATTCAAGACATTTACAGAAAATTTGGAATATTGATACAGTCCAATGGAATATTAAATTGCGGATCATCTTTAAGTGGAACGGGGCATAAATAATTTAGAATTCTGATTAGAAGGAGCACTGCTAAGGGCGGCCAAGTAAAGAGAGATATTAATGATCCCGAATACATTTTGTGTCAGCGCTATAAGAAATGGCGACAAAAGATATACGCAGATTATATTATCTAAGATCGCTGTTATATCTCACTTTTGCTTAATTACAATTTTATTTACTTGACAATGTTTCAATTAGTTCATATATATATAACATCACGGCTTTTATCCTCGAAGGAGTAGGCAGAGGTGCACATAGAAGTAACACCTACTTTTCACTATTTACGTTATGAATCCCATGTGAGCTTAGCCTAGGTGAGCCGGTATATGACCGGGCACAATTCCGGGAATCGAACCCGAGACCCCTTGCCCGGCAGTCGCACTTGCAACCACTCGGTCAACGAGGCAGTCGTCAATTAGTTCACTAAGAGGATATTTAGGTATACATGGCATTAAGTAGGCAAAACGCGTAAAACCATGTAGGGTTTTCCTATATTATGAACGTACCTAATACAATACATATAACCTCATTATCACCAGAGTTGTATAACAACATCACGTAATAACCAGCAGGAAAACGCATACTTTTCCAGTGGATTTTTCATTATTTTTGGATAGACAAGCGGTGCGAACCAACATTATCAATCAATATGAGCCTATCTCAATGCTGAGAAAAGGCCTCATCTCGTCATCTCGGGAACAGATCATCACGTTTGCACAAGGCAGATTGCCGATTTCTTATAAATCCAGAAAGAAGTCCACACATAGATAAATATTAGGTACTAGGGTAGTAGTAGATTAAAGAGAAGTGTTGGTTTCGCGGATCATATGTGCGGACGGCACCGCAGCGGGAAGTAATCTCGGCGGGCGGTAATTAAGGGCGGCGGGCGCGGCCTCGGTGCACTGCGGGCTGGCGTAAATCCGAGCCTCCTTCAGATTTACTGTTATAGCCCGCGCAGACACCATAAGACCTCTTCCTCCGCACACGTCTTCACACTGACTTATTGCCCGTGCGGTTCTCCCAACTATCACTTTAACTGCCGCCCGGGACGCCACTAAACCTTTATTCTCGGAAATCCACTAGTTTATTTGTCAATACTTTGTACCTTTAGTGTTCTATACCAAGGATCTGCCTGTTATTGCCACGATACTTTTCGCACTTATGAACACATCGATTGTACGAATAAGGTCGAACGCTAGTTTAATATTTCTATAAAGGTGACCTGGGTACTTCTACGAGTACATTATCATAAAACCGTTCTTCTAACAAAATGTAGACATTTATTGTTGTTGAGAACTTATTTACATGCTGTCCGACAAGAGGCCCTTTCATAACTTCTCAAAGAGATTGTAGTTGTCGCTCTTTATACTGAATTGTTGATTTGATACTTTGACCTTTATTTTGGATTCTTGTTTCCATCTCAACTTAATGTTAAACCGTATTAAGTACCTAATTAGTAACAGTTTGCTAATTACAAACAATATCAGCAAACATTTTACAAGAAAACAAATGGATTGTATAGATACAATTCTTATGGTCCTGGTAACACTTGTGTACACTTTCGTAAGTATTATAAAATAACATAGCTAATACATTATTTTACTATTTGCACCTGTTCAGTTTTTACTTATACTATAATTAACTATTATAAAGATTATGATATGAGTATTATACGCAATAATTGAAATTTATCTAATGTACGAATTTTAATATTTCGGATGTAGAAAATTATGGAGTCACAAAATATGTCATAGCTCAGTGAAGGCAAGAGTAGGAACAATAAACACAAACAAAAACGAGGAAAGAATTAAAATGGAAAGTTATCTCGATTTCCAGTGGAATGGAACAACATTATCAGAAATTGCCGTAAAAACAAACGATTTCATGATAAAAGGAATGTTGTTTTGCTAACTTCTGCGGTGTCCCTTTCCCTGTCTGTAAGAAAATATTTAGATATCTCTTTGATTCATTTACTTAGAAATAATAATAAATAAACACAAAAATAACTACGTAAATATGTGTGTACTCCACCTATTACAAACTAATAGATTAAGTACAAAAACGCATTTACAATAACCATCTGTCATCATCGCCATCTATCTCGAACTCGACGCCCCCATTTATTTACAAAAACATATATGGTTCGTGTTCACAGCGAGCTTTAAAAAATCACTCAGAGGTGACGTATCAAATTCGATCCACTTTTTGGTAAAATAAGCGGACAACGCGTGTTTAACAACAAGCCGACCCTCGCCACTGTTCGAGGTGTCAAATTGTCGGCCTGTCATTGATCGATTGTCTTGTTCCAAAACACGTTTGTCTATTTCGCTTTCAGGCACCAACAAACACGTACATGTCTCTGTTTAGAGACAAGTGACGTTGACAGGACCACCGTGGCTCAACAAACCGTTAAATTAAAAACGCATTCGCAAGTCTTCTAATTTATCGATAGATTAAAGTCGCCTGTGTTCTCGTATACCTATACCCAGTTTCTCTCGTATCCGTATCCGTATACATATCGTTTTCCAGTATTTTAATCCTATCACCGACATATTTCATTGGAAATTTTAGAATGATTTCAATCTATCTAGATTACACAAATAGATACAATATACGTACAAAGATTAGTTGAAAGAATACATAATAGTACTAACATAAATACAATATTGATTACCTACATAGTGTAATTTTTCAATATGAAATATGGAAATGCATTATTAAGGTGAAGTTCTGAGTCATCGGGTTCCACCGGGCTAGCCGCCCAGGAAGATGGATTGAACGTTCTTCGTCACGATAATGTGCCGAATGACGTAACTGAAGGACGGGGCCACTGTTTGAGTTTTTCTCTAATGGAAAATCTGCATAATGGCTCGCTCCCCGTGATTCGATTTGCACGGAACACGTTATCGTGGAGGCGCGCGCGCTGTCACCCGCGCCCTCTAATGGACCGCTGCTATTTACTCGCCGACGGAAGACGACAGTTTTTGTAGATCTCCTTTAGCAAAGTGAACTTGTAAGTGGGCCGCCTTTGTAGCTTAACTGCCTTTCATGAGGATAAAACGAGCGATCGACGGCGCCTGTCTCACCGACAAACATGACATCCCTTGTAAGCGATATCCAATAATGCCGGCCTCTCTACCTCTCATGTTTTATATGTCCATTATAAGGACACATCAAAACCAAAAGATTTGCAAACGTCTCTTTGACCAGCGACGAGAC